TGGGTTGTTGTCAGAGGTTAAAGGGAAGGAAGGAATAAACAGGCAGAGCACAGATGATTTTTAGGGCAATGAAACTACTTTATGATGATACTGTAATGGTGAATATATGTCATTATATAAGTCTGTCCCAAACCCATAGAATGTATAACACTAACATTAAACCCTAATGTAAACTTTGGACTTTGAGTGATAAAAAAAAAAAAAAAGACAACTAGACACTGGAAATATATATTCACCTATGGAATAGTCTAACAAACAAAATCAAACATGAATTTAGTTTTTGGGTTTTGGTTATTTTTTTGAGAGAAGGTCTTGCTCTGTTACTGGGGCTAGAGTGTAGTGGTGTCATCATAGCTCACTGCAACCACAAACTCCTGGGCTCAAGTAATCCTCCTGCCTTAGCTTTCTGAGTACCTGGAACTACAGGCTTGCGCCACCATGCCCAGCTAATGTCTTTTTTGTAGAGACAGGGTCTTGCTAGGTTGCTCAGGCTAGTCTCCGACTCCTGGGCTCAAGTGATTCTCCCATCTCGGCTTCCCAAAGTGCTGGGATTACAGGCGTGAGCCACCACACCTGGCCTCAAACCTGAATTTAATCAAGGCTCTGCACTAACATGGTAGCCACTAGCCACGTATGGCTACTTAAAATTTATTTGAAATTCAGCTCCTCGGTCACACCCACCGCATTTCCAGTGCTACATGGCCACAGTGAAGGTACAGAACATTTTCATGATTGCAGAAAATTCTACTGGACAGTGCTGCTCTAGATTTAATGTTTATAGGAAATAAAAGGAGGAACAGAATATGATAATGGACACCTTGGAGATACAATCACCAAAATTCATACTGAGGAAAACAACCTGGTTTCTTCAACAACAGAATTCCAAGGAAAAAAGACTGCAATGAAGGAAACCCTTGGATTAAGAAATTCAAGAAACATACACTCAAGCCTTGCTGGATCCTGATTTAAACCAAGTATAAATCAAAAAAAAAAAAAAAAAAAGCAAGCAAGCAAGAAAGAAACATTTATAGGACAGTCAGGGAAAATGTGAACACTGACTAGATATTTGATAAGATTAAAGGATGGTGGTGTTGTTCTTAACTTTGAAAATAGTTCTTATCTCTAAGAGATACTTATTGAAATATTTATAGATGAAATAACATGTCTGGGATTTGCTTCAAAATAATGAGGGTGGGATATATAAGCAGCACAGTTGGCCACAAATTGATTATATGCTGAAGCTGGATAATGGATACCTGGGAATTCACTGTACTAGTTTCTCTACTTCTATATGTTTGAAATTTTCCATTAAAAAGTTTTAAAAATTCTTGGAACATCTGAAATTCCTAATTTTATCACTCAGTACTGAACTCACCTCAGAAATGAGAGACTCTCACATTCAAATCTCTAGACTTAGCATATCATTCCATGTCATGCCCTCATTCTCTTGAACTCAGAGTAACTTGCAGCTCATAGATCCATTTTCTCCCACTCTCTCAATTTCCTTCTGATTACTCCTAAGTTACAACAATCAACTCACTCACTATATGAACTGCAATTGACTTTTCTGTATATGAAAGCTGGTGAGTGCTGCTGGGGGTAGGAGCAAAACTGTGCAGATGGATTCCTTACAATGTCATGGCCCACCACAGGTAAAATCTTTGCATTTATCAATCTTTTATTTGACCTTACATAGCTCTTCATACTATTCTGCTAAGAAATCACCCGAAAGAACTCATTACTGTTCTTTTAAATCTGTATTCAGCCACACAGCTACTACCAAGAACGCTGAAGAGAGTACAGTTTGGGATGTATTTGTACTTACGTGTTTCTTTACCAATAATCTGTCATATTACAACAGTTATTTCTGTGAAAGAAAATTTGTTAACAGAAAGATTTCGGCAAAATCTTTCTATAAATCAGCAAAGTTGAATGTTATCAAAAACTTACTGTTAACAGCAATCCATTCGTTGAGGTCCTCTCCTTCTGGCAACATAACAGCTTGTCTCAGATTCCCACTCCCTAGAGTTGCTTCTGCATGTTTTAAGAGTTCATACTGATGAGATCCTTCAGGGATATTCTTCTTTGGTTTGAATGTTTTAGAAGAGCGGCTGCTGCTGTTAGGGTAAAAGTAAAAGTATATCAATTTTTAGGACTGGAAGTAGAATGGCATAATTTTAGGCATATAAATTATTCTGTAAAATAAAATAAAAAAATACTCCCTGAAAAATGCCAGGATGGCAGGGGGATGATGATGATCACAATAAAAGAATGTTTTATATTTTTTCCTGTACCTAAAAGCAGGATTAGCAGCACGATTTCAAAAGAAGCCAACTTTA